ATTACGTCGTCTTTATTATATCAAAATACTTCAGACATAAACTTTAAAGGAGCTCAGCAGTTTGTAAAGTTACACGTAGTAATTTAATTTCCCCCTTTTTTATTTATTGCAGTAACTAAGTAGATGTATGGCTAAGTATATTTTTAAGGTTTGGTAACAGTTCTAGTTAATCATTTGTCGTCGTATGAAGTGTCATGATCACTGTTTGGAGTTATTGATGGCAAGTATATTTATAACACAGTTTTAAAACAATAAAAATGCTTAAATTATACTATGCTAAGGAATAGCATATATACAAATTTACTTCAAACGGACATTAACTTGCTGGGTTAGATCAAGAATAAAAACCCGCCTTAACAATTCGGATGATTATTATATTAGAAAAAAGACAAGCCGGAATTTTGAATACCAATAAACTATGAAATTAAGGTTTATATTATTCAATACACTCAATACTGGGATCTACAAAAACCATTACATAGTCTAAAGTATATGCTCATATTATTTGTTAATATATATTAACCCCTGAAAATCTAAGTTTATTTATGGTTTTTTATTTTATAAAACTTTTATAAAAACAAAGAGATACACTCTAACTAATGAATGAGTGCAGAAGAAGTAGGAGAAGACGGGTGATACATCATAACATGGATATAACGTCTCTTGAGTTATAAAAATGCGAGCAACACAAAACAAGGGTATCGGGTCTTCTTTATCCATCAAAACAGTATTGCTATTCTTTCGTTAAGAAAATAATTAGTATGGCTGTTACATTTTAATGTCCCTTTTAATGTCCCAACAAGTTAATAAAACCTCGAGTTTCCCATTACATTAGATTTAATTATTCTACTAGGTGAAACCCATCGAATTCTACAGTTCCTCTTGAGTTTTCAAGCTAAATCATTAAACTATAAATCGATGGTAAATAACTCCTTTTTCGGAACAATTTGAACTGTTTTTGATTTAGCAGCGCGTATAAGTTAAGTAACTCCGATCATAATAATAAATTATTCAAATGAAAGCTGGAATTACACTAAAGGTTCTTTTTTAAGCTAAACTTATAGGATAATGTGATAACAATTGAGTAATTATATATACATTTAAATTCCATAACCATGTAACAATCGAAATCATGCTTTTTGATTAAGTAATACAATAGCTCTGAACTTAAATTGTTGAAACAGTCAATATCTCAAGTAAAAGCCTTTATTTCTAGGAGTATTTTAAGACAAAGACATATAAAATAACTGAAATAAAAATATATTTACGTATCATTGATTGCAGATAAGTCATAAAACAATATTTATTGTTGTCGATTCGCGATTTACCAGCGTGCTTCAGGTACGTCTAATCTTAATAATAAATAGCTAAAATAAAAGGTATTTCTTATAAGGTTCTTGGACCAAAATATATAGTATAATGTGTATGGGACAATAATCATGTTTAACAGCACATTGAAAGTTCACAACAGCTTAAATATATTCCTTAACAATTTAAAAAAATATAACCATAATAACAAATTGAGGAAGTAGTATTTGTAAAATAGGAACTTCCCCAGTTAGTCCCGCAAAATACTTCTTTACTAAGATAAATTAAACAGTAAAGTTGTTCCTATTTCAACTTGCCACTCTCATCATAGAGATACAAGAGTCGCAAAAGACCTTTGTTCCTTTGTAAAACCTCTGGGATCAACTGTTGCATTCCGTTACTTCCGGTAGACTTCTTCTACTCAGCAAAATCTATTTAAAACAAACTAGGTTATAAAAGTATAAGGTTTTTAATTTTACTCGTATGTAATTCGATTTTGCCAACTAAATCCTAACTATTTGCCCCTTAGGCCTATTTCTACAACAAAAATTCATAAACATACCGATCTTACAGCTATGAAAATGAACGCAGAATATGGTGATACAAGTTATAAAATTATACCGAATTAACTAGTTATATTAGGAAGACATACGTTATATTAGAGGACTATATTTTTCGTGTATAGTCAATTTTTTTCTTACTTGTCTTAACATTTCATTAGTTTCTCTGTTTCAAATATCACCGATTTCACATAGAAATATTGTACTGTCGCTACTTAGAGGGTATAGTAATTATAATTACGCATATGTTATAATAAATTATAGAGATTGTGATGTTAGTCAATAAATATTTGTTATGTATGTCTTTTTACTTTCAAACAATTTTACTAATACCGTGGGTAATTTAGAGCGCGGCTTATTCAAAGATACGATAGATGGTAGCAACAAACGACATAAGTTGGGTAATGTAATTTTACTATATACTTTTAACTTATAGGGGTCGATGGATTGTGCATTTTTATGAGTGTCTGGAAGTTTCAAAATGTATTGTGTAATAAAAATAGAAAAAAGACCATATAAATAGGGAGGATTATGACAGCAGAAATTAAAAGGAATTTGGTTATAATTAACTAATTAAGTTAACTACACTTTTGTTTACCTCTTAACCAAAACCATCAGTTTATAATTTGTTAGACTAACAAGAATAGTGAATTAAAATAAGGACTACTTATCACTTAATTAAAGTACCAGACTAGTGCCTTAACATAGTATGGTAATTATTTACAAACTAAATAGATGAACTTATACGATATGGAAATTAAGACTTTATATTTCGATAAATATAATTTCAACACGCATCTATATTTTAAAACTTTATAAGGTATTGAGGTATGTCTCATGAAACATAATATATATTTCAGCACAATTTGGGAATTCCTCATATAGGGAATAAGCTACTACCGTAGGTCTCATTCGAACGAGTTTTGAACGATCATGATCGATCAATGGGAAAAGGGTTTATAGGGAGTTTTATGGGGTTTAAAATCGGGTTTTCTAAATTTTTACCCTTAAACATAAGATTTCCTAATTTCTCTATCCCTACTTTGAACTTTTTGAAGAGATTTTAAAACTATTTTAGTACATTGGAATTTTTTGTACGATTATTGGATACAGGCCACAGGGGAAATTTTAAAAAAACCTTGAAATTACCCTACTATTCTTGTAAGTAAACTGTTGTAGTTTACTGGTTTATCGATACATTTGGATCAAACGTAAATATCATTATTTTATAATAGGATATTAATATTTTACTAATAAAACACACTTTATTACCCTTTCCGTGTCAGCAAACCTATTACTAGTTAAACCTAGTCATTTAAATAGATCTAATTCAAAATCAAATCAGGCGAATGAAATGCTTAGTCTGCAGGTTTGCTGTGGCTAGGGTATTTAAGATTCTAAGAAGCATTATAAGCCCCTACATTACGAATAAAATCCATTGCTAATACGTTTCTATAATACGTTTAAGAATCTACATATAATTTAATGATATATAAATTGTACATTTTTGGCAACTGAATGAGTACACAAAATATTTTGCATTTGAAATAAATGTATGTACTGTGGTTAACATTAATTGTATTGAATAATATGAAATGATTTTTTACTATAAGGTACATACGGGCTACGATGATTGATATAGCATAGTATAGGACGGATTCTCTTTTTTATATTTTCATATTTCAAAAAAATTATATTTTTATCAAAATAAAAAATGTACATTGTAAAAATACTTTTTTTATAAAGTTATAAGTTATTCTAATAAATCTTTATTTTTCTAGGACTATGATATACATTTTAGCGAATTTCCCTATAGGGAAGTAGCTATTACCGTAGGTGGCATGGTAAGACCTAAGCCCGGGACCGATTTACTTTTTCATTTTGATGTCCCCAGAGGCCAAAAACACCATTCGTTCAAATTTTTATATATGTATATATATATATATATGTCCGTGAACACGATAACTTGAGTAATTTTTATCCGATTTTGATAAAATTTGGTTTAAAGGTGTAAAGCGGGATAAACTTGAATGAGTTCGCGAACCAGCATGATCGGACCATGGGAACGGGGTTTTACGGGGGGTTTTATGGGGTAAAAATAGGTTTTTCTCATTTTTGACCCTCAAAACACAAAATTTTCCAATTTCTCTCTAGATCTTTTTAAAGAGCTTAAAAAAACAAATAATTTAGTATATAAAAGTATTTTTGTACAATTATTGGTAACGGAGAAAATTAAAAAAAAAATAAATTTGTAATTCCCATGTTATTCTTATGGAGAATATTGTAAAATGTTGTAGTTTGCTTGTTTATGGATATATTTTGATAAAACTTGGCAAATTTATTTATTTTATACTAAGCTATTAATATTTTACTAAAACACATTATTAGTTTCAGTTTCCTTGTAGCAGCAAACCTAGGTACTTGTTAAACCTAATGTTATTTAAATAGTTTTAATTGAAAATCAATTCAGATAAATGGAAATTCGCTTAGTCGGCAGGTTTGCTGCGGCGGGGGTATTATACCTATGCTGTGATTTCACATTATAGGCACTTTAGACTAATTAAAAATTACAAAGGGAATTTTTTGCAAATTGTTGCAAATTATTCTTAGTAAGAATATAATGATAAAGTAGAAATACTTGTAGTGCATTATAAAACAGTCTACATGAAGCTATACGTATTGCGTCTACATAAATTATTTCTTGAGCTGTACTATTATTTCAAGATTCTACCATCAAACTGTTTAACTATTTACATGATACATTATTATAATTTTGTAAGTATTTAATATTATAGATGTAAACACGGTACATATCAACTGTTTTACACTATATTGTGATACATTATTATAATATATTACTGTATTATAGATGTAATCAATGTAAACAATGAATGACCCATCCACATATTTGTAGTTATTTGATTTTTACCTCGTTGTATAATTGTAAAACCAATTTTTGTCAGTACACAGCTACTGCTGGGAATGTAATTTTGCAACGCAGACCTTTTTGTTATTAACGCTAACAATTCTATAGAACAGTGTTAATTTTATTTTCACCTAACAGACAAAAATACTTAGGTATTTTATTTTATTATTTAGTAAACATATACCTTGAACGAAGTAAACATATACCTTGAACGAATAATCCAAAACAAAAGATGTAAACGTTCTTATCGCTGTACACTGGGTTTAAACTCACAGTGTCACATTGAAGTACACTTTGACACACTAATGTGACGTTACAGGCCGGACAAGCGGCTGGCACCACCGCGGAACACAGACTGACTGTGGCCACCGACAGCGCTCCTAGCGGCGCAACCGGCAACCTACTTCATCCGCCCTGTGTCAGTCGATAAGTTGAATCGCTTTAAAACCACATTTTCGGTTTTGCACGTTGTCAAATTACTTAGGGTTTTAATGGTTTAATGTGTTTTTTAGTTAAGAGTTCTTATTGAAACAGAAATTTCTGTAATTAATTGTTGAAAAGTACCAACAGACTTTGGAAACCAGTTACCGATAGTACAGCTAATACAGTAAAACTACTAGTTTACATTGCTACTATTAAATATCCTAATTTCTTTTAGTATTTAATGTTATGTCTGGGTTAAATGCTGTTAATAAAATACGATAATTCGCATTTCTTTTGATATTTTAAATAAAATAAAGTTTTAAATCTATGTTTGATAGTACATATATTAGTATTGTTTATTAACACTTTATAAAAAGTAAGATATTTGATTGAGGATCCGGCTTTAAATAAAAATAAAATAAAAACAAACGAATCGTATGTTGTTTTTAATACACCACCACCTGTTTGTAACTGCTTCTTACAGGTTAGGTGCTGTTAAATAATTCTCAATACTATACTGTTTGTCATAAAAGATTTGTTAACTCTTTTTTAAGTATTATAGTATGTACGTAACTACACAAACCATCAGCACCTAAACATTTAACAAAATTAAAAAATGGTGTATTTAAAATGTAGATAAAGTTATATATTCAAATGTTGTGAAACTGTCGCATGTAACCCATCGTATGATTTTTAACCCATTTTAACCCATAGACATATTTTTCATTAAGTAATCTATTCGTTTTCTTTCAAAATAAATGGCAATTTAAAATCGTAGTTTATTGGGCTAGAACATTGAACACTAATCTAACGAGACGTTTTTGGAATGAATAACAGTAATGCCTGATTGTATCCAGAATCCCGTGTTTGAGGTTGTGAATCACGTAACATAAACAGCTAACCCCGTCTACGTGACTACTGTGCCATTTTTTCGCTACAATTCCATTAACATTAACCAGTCTTAATACAGAGGCCTATTTGTTCAACCTAATGTGTAAGGAATCGTCATAAAAGAATATCATAGGCAAATTATTTGGTGATAGTTTGCTAAAAACGTATTTCTTATTAACTTACTTTGTTATTAGTATAAAATAATAAACAATATAATGTTCTCTTGTTCCCAATAATGTAGTTCAAGGTTTAGTGTACAAACATTGTATCATATCAAATAATCATCAATCTATCGTTTGCAAACGTACTTTGAATAAAGAAATATTATAGAAACAAACATATTACAAATACAGTATTTTGAACGGATGCAGTATGAGCCATTCATGTGATGGGATAAGAGTTTTTTTTTTTTGTTAAATAGCAAAAAATTAAAAATTGTTAGAAAAAATTATGGTTGCAAGAAATGGTTTAAAATAATTGTTGAGTCTTTTCAGCTAATTTTTTTTCTGAGGAATTTTTTTAAAGAGTAAAAATCTCAATTTAGACTATAATATTTAAAATAAATGTCATACTAATATTATACAGGAATATACAATAGTTAACCATAAAACAACAATCTTACATTTAAACAGTAAAACACCAAAGTAAAAAATCAACTACACCCTGTACCTGTTGTTACCTGTTCACGAAAAGTGTTCTTAGATTATTTAAATTGCTTAAACGAAGTACTGGTACTTAGACGCGAGTTACCTCAGAGTCTTCGCACTAATTGTGAATAACACTTCTAGAAACTCGTAAGTCAGATACTCGTGGATGAATCTTTTGTTTACAACTCATTTTCGTTGCCAAAACGGCTCGTTGGGCGGTTAATTAATAAAAGAGTACCCATGTAGACTACTAATTAAGTTTTTCATAAGAGCAACTAGTATTTCTTCATTGTGTACAAAGTCGTTTTATTTACTATATGACTCAAATAATTTAACAATAATTAAAACAATAATACTATATGTACTGCCCGTTTATGAAAAGTGTACTCTTATAGTACATTTCTATGTATATGCATGCATGTGTTTTTAAATGTTTAAATTCATACACTAACAATATAAAATGTATAATGTAAATTGTACAATAACTTCCCCTCTGACCTCAAAAATATTTCTTGCCATATTTCTGGAGTAAATATTAAAGGATTGTTCACTGATAATTAGTTGTTATTAAATTTTCTTGTTTCTGTCTCTAGTTATTTGTTTGTTAGTTAAGTTATTGTTACTTATATGCCAAGAGATATTCTGAAAAGCAGTTTTACTGAGACTCGCTTGATCAAAACAGACATTTTTATTTATTATTTATTTATTATTAAATATAAGTCGTAATAACTCCGCATTTTTTTGGTTCCAGAAATTTTTTTACAAGGATGATTTGTATAATAAGTTAGTTATAAAACTTGATAATTACTATATAAGTCATCTTCAAATACCTCATGCATACAGGATCCTTAAGATAAAAGTTTTTTTTCGAAAGGCTTCTATTACGTTATTATTTTATTTCAATAAGTAACATTTGTCTTTTATTTCTAACATTAAATTTACTAGGATGTAACATTTCTCAGGATTTCGTTTGAATGAAAGAATATCAAGGGAATTGTTAGAAATACCACTAATTTTGTTTGTAATATATTTATAAGAAGTTAAGGGGTTATGATGGTAGGGAGTTAGACGTTAGTAAACATAAATCTAAGGTCATATTGAACAATACTTAGTTTGAATTGAAGTGGTTGCTAAAAAACCAATTATAACTGCAAAGTAATTACAACTAGGAGTCAGAGCTTTTCAAATTCATCTTTGCATGTGGGTCTTTGAATATGTTGATGCAGATATCTACGTTGACCTTCTACAAGAAATTTATGATAAGGGACAACTTATAACAAATAACTTAAACATTTTTAACGTTCAATGTGCAAATGTACTGTTTGCACACAATAAAAGGGAACCCAAACATTTCGCTATGTGACGTTTAGTAAAGAAAATACAGTATGACTATTTCATATTTTACGTCTAAATGATAAGTGTTTGCAATCTGTTTTCTAAAATGTAGCATTTTAACAAGATATTTAAAATACATGGTGTCCATAAAACAATCATCTAGTTTTGGTTACGTATATAACAGTTAATGTTTGTTCCACGACACTATGACTCACGCGTGGTTGAAGATAATTTCTTTAGAGTTTTATATTGATAAGTTCATTGTTTATCGTTTCCTTTTTTGTTGACTTTCTTCAGTTGTTTTTAAAATGCATAACATAGAAGAAAAACCTTATATGTGTTGAGATATGGTTAATGTTTCTAACTAACTGTAACTGTTGTTGCATATCTGTACATGATGGAACAAGGGTTGATTCCCCAACTTGACAAAGACATGGAAGACTTCGTGTTCCAGAAAAGAAGGGGCTACACCTTATTGGCCTGTGGTGGCTAAAGTGTTTAATAAAGAGACTCCCTGATGGTTAGAGTGGCCTCTGTGCTAAAGATGACTTAGCTCTCCTCATGTGGCCACTCTCCTTACTGTGTGTGTAGCTTCCTGGGACCTTAATGTATGTGACTTGGTTCTCTGGGGCTATTTGAAGGACAGGAACCTGTCATTAGCTCAGCCTCTGCCAGAATGTCGAGAAAAGGATTCGTGTTGCAGTGCCAGGAGTAAGCCAGGATATGCATACCAACGTTTAGGCAGAGTTGCAACATATTCTGGAAACATGTTTCGCTACAAACGGACAGCATATTGAGCAGCTTGAGTGATATCAAACAAAACCTTAGAGCTTTCTCTTTTAATCCATGCAGTTTATAGTAGCATTCATGTATCTAAAAGTCCAATAAAGTAGTTTAAAACCTGATGAATATTTTATGGATACCCTGTATAAGACAATATTTTGAAAAAATACCTAGGAAACCCGTAGAAAAATAAAATAATCATCTGACTTAGTATGATGCCCAAAATACTGAAAGATTTTAATTTTCCTAACTTAAAATTTTTCCTTCGTAGTTATAAAGGTAAGATGCTAAAAAAAATGTACCCATAGTTAATACTTAGTTTTCATAGTTCGCGTCCAAAAAATTCACATTGTAAGTCAAATATATACTGGATTTAATTAATTTGCTTGGGAATACATAACTACAATATACTAAGTAATCTGTTACAAAGGCTTTTTGATCTTTCATAAAAAAGCCAGCAATGTCTAGAAGGATAAAAGAACATTAATTATGTCTAACAACACAAAAATTCATAGTAAATAGTACTTTTACATTAGTACTTGAATTACTAAACTAATACTGCAGTGTAAAAAAATTATGTACATATTTGGCTGATTAAAATCCTAGTATGAAGCCAGTTCGTTATATTTACTGGGGTATTTATTTTTTAATTATATAAATTGTATCGGACCTATACAAATATGTTAGTACCTACACTATTCTTTTAATACATATTTCGTAACGTGATCTATTTTGGGTTTTATTATACTTTTCACCTATTTTACGTAATTCTAAACTATCACCCTAAATCATATATATTTTCCTAAAGTCATGTTGGAGTATAGTGCACTGTTTTGCATGTCACATGAAAAATAGAGTTACTAGGGAAAAGCTTTTACATCAAGTCTGATTTCAGTCAGAAGAGACATCAGACAACACGGATTTGTACTGATGGTTGCTGCATCAAACAACTATTTTATATTTATTTTATATGATTCAGCTGCGAACTAAATAGAAGAAAACTAATCTTGCACAGTTCTAACATGGTTTGAAGGATTTTATTTTTGCTTTATGAGTAATTAATTATCCTGCCAGTTTAAACCACTGTAAGTTACTCCAAAATTTGACATCGGCATGGTAATGTATGTAAAAAAAGAGGAAATGAAAGCTTTCTGCTAAAAGAAATAAAAAACGAAGGCATTTTGATTTAGATTTTAAATTTATTCAGAAAATAAGTCATTTGCT